ACTGAACGAAGTTACAAAAAAGAAGTTCTAACTTTTGCTGTAATTGAAGAATGCACAACAGAACAGATTATGGTTTATGAATCATAAAATGGCAAAAAAAAAAGTAACTACTGTACTTCTTCTTCATATATATATATATATATATATATTTTTTGGGTGTCCCTCTCCGTCCAACAGAAACCCAAAAGTAGTAAAAATTATATGGGCATCCGCAACAGTGATTGATCGATCAAAGGCCGCGACTTCATCTTATTTGAAAATTTGAAAGTTTGTGTTTAAGCGCTATGAACGTTTCCACTCCCAGATGATGAAGAATGGCCCTGGAAATCCATCATCATCATCCATTGTTGAATCTCATCTTCTCCGATCGCTTCCCAGAATTCCATACCGTTGCTGGTCCCAAGTTCCATGCCAGAACTATCAACAATCTCATTTTTAGCTTTAATTTCAGGCTGCAATTGCTTGTGAGGCAGATGATGATGATGTTGTTGATCGCGTTCTGGAACCTGTTGGGATGAGCTCGAACTCTGATGGCCGTCCAACGTATAATCAGAGAATGGGAAATTCAGCTTTGCTCTGGGACCCCTGAACTCAATGGCCGCGCGGTCATAAGCCCGGGCAGCATCCTCCGCAGTCTCAAAAGTTCCAAGCCAAACCCGAGCTGCCTTGCGAGGATCCCTTATCTCTGCAGCCCATTTCCCCCACGGCCTCTGTCTCACTCCTCTGTAGTTCTTCTTCTTTCTCTTGACCCCATTTTTCTTGTTATTATCCTCGACTGGGGCGGCTGAGGGCGAGAAGTAGTTGCATCCCAAGCAGCCTTCGTATCCGCACAACTGACAAGTCTGGACTGCAGCAGCAGGCACGACTAGATTATTTGCATTGAAAAAAGCAGAGGAGGAGGAGGAGGAGGAGGAGGCCGTGGCGCATTCGAAAAATGATGGCGGAAAGAGTCTAAAGTCGTGGAGTGTATTTGCGTCTGCATAAGGGGTGGCGGTAGTAGTGGTGGTGGCGGTGGAGGAGCCAGCAATGACATTCTTCAGAGCGGCCACCATGACGGAGACTTCTTGCTCGCTGGTGATCATACGCGGAGGAGGAGGAGGAGGAGGCAGTGGCGGCGGGAGGATGGAGGTGGCATGGGAGCTGGTCAAAGGGATTCCCTCTTGTTTGAGCCTCTTGGTTGACCTCTGCATGCTGAAGAAGTAGCAGTAACAACTAAGTAATAATCAGTAGGGAGCAGCAGGCAGCAGTTTTCTTGAAACTGGGAACTTGGGGGGTGGGGCGTCTGTTATTCGTCCTGAGATAATTGCTTTGTGATTGTTGGGTAAGATTTGAGACAAGAAGGGAGGAGGTCAAAGTGGTCGGGGTGGTTATATACGGAGAGAGTGCCAGCTCATACGCCGTTCACACACGGGGTTATTTGAGGAGCTTTGTTTTGATGGGCTGGCACGTGGGGCAATTTTGAGATGGTCTTAGGATATCCTGCTGAGTGCTGATGTTGGGGATGATGGGGGCTACTTGCCTTGCGACGCTGGGGTGGGATCTACTGAAACTTCATTCTTGGAGGGTGAACTGAGCTGGCAGGACCACGTCAACATTGGACAAAGGTGAATGTACACTTCAAACCTTGAAAGCTACTGACGTGTCAGCTGCATCTTATCTTAGTATCGTCTACTCACGGAACTACCACTACTACGGACGTTTTGGTACCCATCGGGAAGTCCGTATCATAGTTGTCCTTTTTTTTTTTTTTTTTTTTTTTTTTTTTGGGTTCCAGTTATCCTCTCAGTTCGAGTACCTCCATATTTTTGGAGTTAATTATACTCAAACCCCTGAGGTTCGACCATCTTGTGAGTTAAACCTACATGATTGACAATATTATGAAAAGCTCCTCCATCATGATAAACTTATAATTGACACCTCCTACCGTTGCCTTGCTAATGCTTCCAGTTAATTTTCTGGTAATGGCAACTGCCGTGTTTTATGAAAGTCCCATATCACCCCCCGTCATGCCCAAGTTCTCATTCTTTCCTTTCCAGTCAAAATCAATAAATCACTTACGACTATCGTTAAAATTTTCATTTTCGTTTAAAGACAACAATTTAAACTCATATTCTATCAATACTTTCTATTTGTTGGGCTAAGAAATGCTTACTCGTAAGAGTATGATTGTAATACGACCAAACCTCACAGTTGGTTCTATATTTTAGTTAAACTCAATGGATGTAATTATAATTAACTCATATTTCTAAGATAAGGTTAATTAAAAAATAATTAATTCATATTTCTCATATTTTTTTAGCAATACATAGTCATGCACCACTACTCTTGAATACTAAAAAATTACTCAGCCTTAATTCTAAATTTTTGTAAAACCCTAAACCCAAGTCAAAAGATAAGTTTAATAAATTCAGTTGAAAAAAGAATATAATTTCATTCTAAAATTATTTTCTTTTTGTGGCCCATTAATTGCCATAGCAAATCAATTTAATAAGGCTTTTCTTCTCCAGTATTTCTTTTAACTTTAACTTATCTAAATGGTGCAAGAGCTACCATAATAACTAAAAGGAAGAAAATAAAAAAGGCATTAGCCTTTCCTTTAACTTTTAGAAATTTTGGCTAATTTTGTTTTTAATAAAAAATTTAATAATTGTTAATTAGGCTAAGAGATCCTTTAGTAGTTTTATGTACATTGGTCCAAACAATAAATGTTAAAATTTTAAAATTATAAATAATTCCTAAAACTCGTAAAAATTACCTGAAAAAACTTTACGATGGAGAAAATCACTTTTTGTCAAATAAGTGTTTTAAGTCATAATTTTGAGGCTAACAGTTAGAAAATTAAAAATTTTATTAAAAAAATTATTAAGCATCTTAAACTTACCTAAAACACTATGTAATAAAGATTTTTCTTTTGTTTTGTATTTTGAATGCACCTCAAATAAATTTTTTAACATATAGTGATTGTACCTTTAATACACTTGCTACTACTGATTTTGGCACATCAAATTTACATCTTTAGGTACTTATTTCGCCTTTTGTTAATAATCTTTTACTAATATATTTGCCAAATTGTACAAAAATTAAGATAACATAAGGTAATTTTGAAATGAAATTATCTTCTTTCTCCTAAAATGAGTTTTTTTTTTAATGTTATATTTTAAAAATTCTGACAATGTTATAAAAAGTCAAAATTAAGAGAGATTTGTGATATTTTTGAAAGTTTAAGCATGAGAAGTAAAACTATGAGAAACTTAAGGGGTGGTTTTAGAAATTATCCCAAAATGAAAACCATGTCAGCGTGTTCTTAGCTTTTGGTCTGGACGGTTAAGGACCGTGACATAATCGCTGACGAAGGCAACGTACATGATGTAAGAATATTGGGGACATTGACACTGTCCGCTCGAGTATTGACCTTTTCTGGTGACAGAAGTTTCCTGCGCTTCTAGACTCGTTAACGCGAAACAAGTAGATTAGCATCTAAGTCATTTACATCCAGCTGAACTGCATTAAGTAAAATTTGTTTTTTTGGGGGATAAAAATTAACCCTTGTTTGGAAAGTTATTTTTACCAAAAATTTTGTACGTTTTTTGTAAACACGTTTTTTTTTTCAATTACCTTCTTATTTTAAATATATCAAATTGGTATATATATATATATATATATATATATATATATATATATATATATAACAAAAATTTCAAAAAATTGCAATTCAAAACAAAGCCTAAATTTTTTAGAGATACAAAGTAATGCTTGTCAATTTTCCTCTATAACGTGGATTTAGTAAAATAACAAAATTAATTGGGAAAAAAAAACTGAAAAGTCCTTTTTACACTACTATGTCATTATCTGTTTGTTGTATTTGAGACATTCATTGTTCTCATCAATAAATGATCACAGGAATGCTGACTCGAAATGTATATCTTGAAATCCGGAATCCCATTCTTATTCTTTAACATTTTTTTTTTGTTTCTTTTTTCTTTGTTGAGGGTTTCAATGTTGGTTAATAGTAAGCAAGTAGGACACTTGGATGCGATTCTGTACTACTATTTCAAACCAAACGAACAATGACCTTACCAAAGAAGTAGCCATGAACCTCAGCAATCACAGAGAGTTTGTTTGGATAAGAGTTTATTTGGATGATTTATTTGAGATATTTACTGTAGCACTTTTTGTGATGTGATGTATGAGAGATAAAAAAGTGATTGTGAAGATAAAAAGGTGATTGTGAGAATAAATTTTGCAAACCAAATTCTCTCTATCCAAACAAACTCAGAGTATTTATGGTGGTGGGTGGAATGATTTAGAAATCGGATAATTTGAAATTGAATATGTGGACATAAATTTTAACAAGTGATAAAAGTATTATTATGTTTTTGCATGTCGTTGTCTTTGTGTCAACATTAATTAATTTAATATATATATTTATTGTATTAAGATCTATGAATCTCTGGATAGACATTCTACCATAAATTATAATAATTTTTGACTTAGCAGCTAAAAATGAATAAAAGGCGCGCCAGGTACGTTCCAAAATCCAAGACCCTGATGATCCAGAGTTTGGGCAAACGGGCATGACAATTGTGAGGTTTGAGTGCCAAGAACTACAAATAGTAGTATAGCCACACGTGCCAATGATGGCTACTGTTGAAGTTTCAAGAGCTAGAGTCCCGAGTTTTTTTTTTTTTTTTTTTTTTTTATACCGTTTTTCAAATTCCATCCATCTCATGCTATAAAAAAAAAAAAAACCCAACTAATTATCAGTGAAAAGTTATCTTGAATCTGTTCATAGCTTCCAAGACGAAGAATTACATTGGCCCATAATCATGACATATGAATCTAGAAATCCAAAATAATCTCTGCCAGACAGATAATGGTAATGGTGCTAATGGGACGTCAAAATTTTGAACCCCATCAAGCTGTTGAAATGTGCAAAAGGCGTTGGAAGAGCTTGGGGATTCCGGTGAAGTGAAAGAAGAAAATTTATTTCTAAAGCTCAATTATCGGTGCCGTCAATGGCGTACTTAACGTGGTAAAAATTCCATCGATAACATCAAAAATTTAGGAGAGCTAATGACTTGGTTCATAAGGGAAAGGAAAATGCACAAGAGCTTCAAACTTAGCACAAAACGCTAATGATAGGCGAGGAGGAGGTAAACCGTTGCTCAGTCATTTTCAACACTAACTGTGGAAAGAAAAAACGTACAACCGGGGAAGATCCTGCTATCTATGCTTTTATACAACCAAAAATGCGGTTCTGAATCTAAACCGCGCGGCACTACATCTTTCTTTGCTGTTCTTTCTTTAATCACAAGAAAGAGTACACTCGAGTCCCTGCAAGCTGGAGAACCAACAGTCAGTGGATTTAGAGCAAGGAAACAGATGATTCTACCAACCAGATGCAGCCCTATGCTCATATGGCAGTCTGCTCAAAACGGATTCTTCATACAGCAAATTTGAGCAAATTCTTCCAGTTAGTCATCATCCTCTGAGTCTGCGTTGAGATGGATATATGTTAGCAACTCCTTCATGTATTATACATTCTAGTGGGAAAGTCACAAGGTATGTGTGGATTTTCAAAAGATTGATAAGCAAAAACTTCTGAAACGTTATAGGTCTGTATTAGTAGTAAATTGATATTGTATTAAATCAGTAATTTTAACATTATTAATGCATGATGAGGGTAGAAAATAGAAATTCAAAATGTTAAGACTACAGCAATTGTTCCCGGTAACACAATATATCAAATTGAAGCAGGTCATCACTTTATGAAGACGCAAAAGATAATCCAAATGAAATTATTAAGGCATCTTAATCACTGTGGATAAATTATCCTATACTGTAATCACAAAGGAAAAGTCAACGCCTAGGAACGGAAAAATTAAGACTGGCACTTCCCATAATTTGGAAAGTGTGGGAACTTCAATATAACCATGTACCTCCAAGTATAAGATTATTATGTGGAAAAAAAATTCAGTCATACTTCAAATCGAAATCCAACTTCAACTCTTCTGATGTATGTTTCTCATGCAGATCTTAATTATTCCATATGCTGCCAGATTTTTACCTAAAATGCCCATTGATCCACCAAGGCCTGAGAAAAGGATGCTAAAAAAACTGAGCAGCATCAAAAGACTCGCGCAAAGTGTAGGTCACTAAAGTGGTAAAGGTCGAAAAGCTAACTTTCCCTTTTTTCCTAATGTCGAAGGAAAAAGAAAAGAAAAAGGTATTAATACTTCATCCCCTAGTTTAGATTGTATTTTCTTTACTATCTTCTTAAATGATTAACCAAAAAAAAAAAACTTCTCCTGATAACTTGCATGTAAACGATCATAAACAAGTAAAAAACAGAAACACAACAAGGTGAGAGCACAAGAGTTCAGTTCCAGAAAAACATTTTCTTCCTGTCAAATAAAACATATTTGGCAATTTCAACAATACTTACCAGAACGTATATCTTCTCCAACTTTTCCCCTGTTTTTTAGCTGTCTCATGATCATTGCACATATGAGAAACCACCAGTAAATGTGGAAAACAAGCAGCGTCAATAGCATTGTGTTGAACACATAGTACAAGGAGGCATGATAAGTGTCTGATAAATTGAGGCACAAAAGTATGTAATAGCTGGGGGAATGACAATGACAAATTATTAGCAGAAAACAATCAGAATATGAGAATGAAAACTAAAACAAAATACCTGTTTGAGAAGCAAACCTTGAAGATCTTATGACCCAAAATGGAAAGTATATAAGCCTCAGTACAAGCCATGAGAGAGCAAATAACCCAAAGCATACACTAGCTCCAAATTCCTTCTCAGAATATTTAAAAACTTTAGCAGCTTCCATGAAGACATCGCTTGCATCATGCAAAGCAAGAATAATAGAGCCAATTCGGAAAAACCTACATGGATCAAAAGTTAAATATTTCAAATTAACATATCCATGGCTTAACATGATATCTATAACCACCAACTGAAGTGAAAATAATGCAAATATGATCCTTTTTTTTTACTTTGAAGTGATTAATAAAGTTCTGCAGCCTTTTCGAGTAAAGAGGATATGCTCTCTGTTGTCATGTTCAAAGGACATACTCCAAAGTGTCAGATGAAAAAAACATTGCTAGAGGCACAAATGTACCTTGTAATATATGAATAGCTAATCAAGATAACAGTGACAACATGATGGGACATCATCACCGCAAAATCTTTCCTGCGTGTTTCCCAAGTAAGTAGAGCAGAAATGCTGTAGATGTAGAAGCCACATTGACACATGTAGATGAGCTTTATAGAGGGCCTGCAATGTGAGACACAATCAAGTGATTTGAGATAGCAAGATTACGAACAAGTAAGAACCCAGGCTAAGAGCAAACAACAAGAAATTTCTTAAATCACAGAATTACTATTCCTCAGATAGAAATGAAGCATAAACCAGAGACTGTTCCCAACAAACTAGTGTTAGAAAATATTTAAGTATAAAATAAAATTATCCCAAAAAATTTAATGTCACTTCCAAGAATCAGGTTTCTGTTTCAAAGTTGCAGTGATCTGTGGTAGAGTCTCCCAGGACATTGGCAAGGTCTTGTTGGTAACCTCCCACAAGACGAGAAAAAGAAAAACCCAAACTACAACAGTAAAGCTATTCCATGAGATAAGAACAAAATATACTTGGAAATTGTGCTAGAAAACATATGTAGCCATTTGAATTTTAAACGTACCAAGTATGTTAGGATCTTCTATTAAACTTAACTTTAGAATAGCAGTTAGACCTTCTCAGCTGGTTTAATTTGAAGTAACTACATTAGAAATTGCAGCCAAGAACAAGAAGCTTCATTAAAGGAGATTAAAGTAAAACCAAAAACGTTTCTTAGTATTAGAAGGTCAATTTTAACAACATCTATTCCACACTACTTCACAGACAAGTTAGCAACATATTAACTGACAAGCATGGACCCACCTGAAATAAAAGATACTCTCTCTGTTCCATTGTTAATGTCCTGTTTCTATTTTTTTGATATCCCAAAATATTAGTTGCTTTCCAATTTTGCCATTTGAAAAACTTTTCAAATCTCAATGAGTTTGTTTGGATGATTTATTTGAGATATTTACTGTAGCACTTTTTGTGATGTGATGTGTGTGAGATAAAAAGGTGATTGGGATTTGTGAGGCAAAATTTTTTTTCCCAAATTCTCTCTATCCAAACAAACTCAATACACATTTACCAAGCAGATATTTAGAATTTAAAGGTTACATATGTAAATTGATGCAATGCCACCCAGTCTAGACACAACAATTACATGTCTCCATAAAAAGTTGGGTTCCACCAAAAAATGACTCTAATTATGGGTCTGAGAGAATATATTATACTAACAAAACATTTAATACATTTCAGTTAAAGTAAATTTACCTTTTGGACCTCATGTAAAGAGCTATAGAAAATTGTTACACCAGAAGTATGCATGCCCAACAATGAGTTAAAATTTCAGTGAGACCCTACAATATTTGTATTTATTGATCCAACAGATATAAAGCACAGCATCATTTATTTCCCCAAAAAATAGAGGAGATTTTTATCAAAAAATATACGAAAATAGAAGGTAAAAGAATCTGAGGTAGTTGAGCATAATTTAATCAGGCCAACCATGCAAGAAGAAGCAAACTTTGCTTGTGAATTAACTCTCCTGTTAACTGCTATAGCATTGAGCATAATATGTCACTTCAATTACTCTAAAAATCCAAAATCAGCCCCGCATGTTTAGTGCTTGAACAATATCAATCAATGACTTACTTGAGGTGTTGGTTTGGCCACCCTCTGAAGTACTCCTGTATATCTGTGAACCACGGCTCACCATAGATGACCAATAGGACAGACAATTCAACAGTGGCATAATATGTTAGCTTCCACAAAGACTCAGAACATTTTGCAATCTTCATCCTTCTAGCCTTGTTAATTTTCAGTGGAATAGATCCATTGCTCAATAACCATGTTGCTACCCTCTGTAGACAGAAAATTAAGAAAATGATGTATCTGGATATGCTCAATAGGTTCACAAGTTCAACCACTAGCCAAAGAAAGATAAAAGTGATTATTCTGTTGATATTGCAATGCATTCTTTATACTATTGGAACTGTTCTTGGGAGGAAAACTCTGACATCTAATTATTCAGGATGTTCTAAAATGTCAAACTAGCAAGCCAAGAGAAAGGGGAAAAACACTCTAAAACAAACAAACTCCGTGTCTGCTTGAGGGATTTATAGAAGGCTTTCATTTCTTCTATGAGACATTAAAGTGCTTATGAATGGCTCTCGCTAGGCTGAGCATAAAGACTGCAGTGAACTCTGGTCAACCCGTATAATGCTCAATCTCACGAGGAATAAAATACACTGGTACCATCTAAAATTAGCTGCTTCAGAAGGAAGGGAAACTCTCAAACAAGGCTAAAAATATATGCGGTGGACAAAGATAGCATCGTCTTTTTATATTTTGTGAATGTAATGATCATGTATTTTTCTAGTTCCTAGCAAACTAAAAACATTTTAAAACCTGGGCCAAGCAACAATAAGAAATCATTCACCTGCACAGTAATCTCCTCTCCCACTTCCTGCAATCCGTAAAAGAGGACTTAAAATGGCCAATGAAAAGAACTACAGTGCCGAATGTTCCAGCAGCAATAAATGAGATGATAAAAAGTAAAAGAAGATTCAGGTTCAACGCGTCAATGATATAACTGCTGCTGCAGACAAGGTGGAAAAAGTTTTCTTTTGTTTGTTATATGGAACTTACTTTAGAAAACTGTAATTCCATCAGAAGAGGTAAGTTTAGTTGGACTGCTTGCTGCAGTAAAATTCATAATTTGCAGCACCTACGCAATCTTTGGAAGCAACTTGACTCCAATCTTACAGCTCTTGATAGACTTAAATGTGAAAAGACAATTTCACGGTAAATGGAAAAAGTGATACCCAATTTTCCCCCGAAAGGTAGAAAACCCAAACTCCCAAGCAATACTTTTTCATCTTTACCTGTACCATTATTAAACATTGATTACTTAGAGACTCCCATTTCAGTATCTTCCAAACAAGCCAAACAATGCATCAAGCTAATCAGGACTTTCTCTTAAGAGGTCACTTAATCTACCAGACAACTACAGTAGGATACGTCTAGAGCATAAAGTTCGTGAACCATACAATAAGGCGGTGCAAAAGGGAATCAATCATATTGACAAACTAGAGATATGCAAATTTCCACAATATGCCAAGTCTTCAATAAAGGTGCTACTTTCACCCAGACAAACAAGTGCGCCATCTTGCAGGCAGATGTATGCACAAAATAAGAATTTCAAACTTCTCCAACATATATAGATTAATTTGACCTTTCTCAGTTTGAATTAGTTTGGGTTCCTTTGTTTATACCCTCTACTTTATCAGTATCTCCATGTGCTTGGTTTCTCATTTACAAAACTCTAATGCATCCGGACAACCAGATTACATTAGATTGAAAAATCACACTGTCTTTTGCTGTAAATTTTGCAAAATGCTAATTAATCAGAATTGGACAAAGCTACTCTTGGGCAGATTCTTGATTATAGCTTCATAGCCCCGTAATCGCTTCTTATTGGTTCCCTGCCCCCTATCAATATAAATGAATCCATAGACTAATTGGCTACTGAAAAATCTAAATTTTAGATGCAAAATCAAACGATAAAATCAAAGAACTGATTTTGTCACAATCCAAATCTATAATCAGGTGAAGCAATCAAACGCAAACACCCCCAAGATATACATTACGATAATGCATGTTTCCAATGTCCATGACCAAATGTATTTGCACTGTTGGAAAACTGATAGTTAAGAACAATAGGCCGAAATTCAACAACTCTTACACTACCAACCGTTGTCAATCCGTCCATCCTAATTAACTTACTGCTTCGCATCAAGTGCATCAGAAATTTCAATCAAATTATCATAAAGAAAGGAATAATTTTGCTATCCGCAGAGCGCTCGTCTTGGTTTCCTGGAAAAGGATGGAGTCGATAAGGTGCAAACGTTTAATATGGTTGAACTTTAACACTTGGAGTATCAATAGAAACAAATGGGGAGAAGTATACCCCAATTCTACCGTTTCAAGATCCAATATAAAACATTAGTGCAGAATTCAGGCTGAAGAAGTCCAATTCCAGTCAAGATGCAAGAACATCAAAAAAAATCTTCAAACAATAAACACAAATGAGACAAAAACCAATCATTGACAAATTCGCAAATTAAGATAGCGCGAGCATATTTACATACAGAACAACAAGAACGGGAAGCTTACCTGAAAGAGGTGCTTATCAAACAAAAACCTGGCGACGGCAAAACCGACTGCGAAATATACCGCCAACAGAAAATGCCAGGCGCTGGGGACGACATCGGCTTTCCACATCGAATCCAGAGCAGCAGATTGGATCATCTTCAACTTCACATCCACTCCACCCCTAGTTAATCCTCATACCTACTTTAGAAAAAAGAAATCCCTAATTATACCCGAACTTGCAATCTTTTTATAGACAAATCTACCATCGCTGCAGAGGCGGTTGGAGTGGTGTGGGCGGTGAGTTGTATTAATTGTGTATTGAAGCAATGGAAAGTAAGGGAAGGGCGCAGGGAGGAGGGAAAAAGGAGGCGGTTAAAGGTTAACAGACTTTAAGGCTGGAAGGAATGGTAATGAGCAAAGATGTGAATGAAGGAAGGAAAGGGAAGGGGGGAGGGAGATCTTGCGAGTTGCGAGGAGAGAGGCGACTGGGTTCATGCGGGTTCACTACACTACATAACTGCTAATGAGTGGGCCCTCACCCCTCTCAGTACTTTACAACTTTCTTAAATATATTATTAGCAATCTCTCATTTTTATTAATAATCACATTGTCACTATTATTTTAATTATATAATATGTTTTCATTTATTGAACTATATAATAAAATAAATGATCGAAATGTAAATCGAGTGCAAAATATATTTCCTTTACTAAAATAGATCAAAAATAGAAAAATATATTAGCATTTTATTTTGGTCTCTGCCACACAATAAATGTATCATTGGTATGGTAGAACTTGATTGTTTTAAAAAAAAAAAAAAAACTCTATTGTTTAAAATATATCGTGCTAATGTTTACATTTGTTATGTTAATACTTAATTAGTACATTGATTCAGTCGTCGCATAGATTGTTGTACATGCGAACATCATTGTTTTCCATTTTGGTTGATCCAACAAATAAAATTGAAACAAAACTTTTTAGTGAATCCAGTTTTTTTTTTTTTTTTTGGGAGCATATTTAGTTGGCATTCATAACACATTTAAATTTGGGAAAAAAGCAAAAAATTAACATAGGTCTGGTTTAATAAATATGTTGAAGTCAAACATATCATTAATGGACGTTCAAATGAATATGTGTATAACTATATCATAAAGATTAATTAAATGTTCCTAGATAAGTCAGGTCCACTAAATTTAGAGTGATATGGACACTTCGGTTGATTAAAAAAAAAATAAAATTAGGATTTGAACCTTTAGTATGAGTAGCATGTTTGGCCCGCCCCTAAAAAAAAGGATACGAGTAGATTAAATTAGATGACAAAATAGAAAGGATTGCGAGTAATAGATTTGGACGGTAGTATAACCACATCCGCTTCCCTCCAAATCAACATAAAAACATGTGTGTACGTGTACCCTGCCCCCCATCCTTTGCTGTTTCGAAACCACTGAAGAGTCGCGAATTCAATGATTTTGTCTGCTGACGTTTGTCAGCTTCTCATCTTTGATTAAGAGAAATGCCCATGGAGACATATACCTAAGTTACTCATTGGGCCTTGGTCCCGTGTACCCGGTCGGAGGTTCAAAACCTGTCTAGACAGTGCTTCGTAATATGCTTCCTTGTTCTTCAAAAATTTAGAAAGTACAGTAGTGTACTTGTTTAGATTGAAAATATAACGTAAGAAGATAGTGTAATTAATGTTCATCTTCTAGGAGCATATAGGGTACAAATTGATAATATAATGTAAGAGGATAGCGTAGTTAATGTTCATCTTCTGAGACGATACATGGTGCCAACATTTTCTTCAATTTTATCGTAGGATTGAGTTGGACGGTAAAATAGAAGAAATTGAGTTGGCAGTGATAAAGAGGTTTGATGTCTAAACAAAAACATATTGTCCCTTGAAAATATGATTGGGTTGATCAGCACTTAGGTTCTCTGAAGATTGGGCTCGAAAGCTTTTTGAGAGGCGGATTGTACCGCACATAATGGACTTTCCATCTGAGGCTTTGTGACAACAACAAATCCACTTCACATGGCTAGGCCCATTGATGCAATACGCCCACACACACTCTCACGCAGAAACAGAAAGAAAGTGAATTCTTTGTTAGCTTTCGGGTCCAATTCTGTTACCTGCACGTTCATATACCGCAATTTTCACTTCTAGTGCTCGATTCAAACTGCGCTCAAAGGAGTTCCTTGACATGCCTTCAAGCACATAGCTCGCCATTTCATCATTTCCACTGTTGTCGTACCAGTCTTCCATTAGAGTATTTTGAATTGGTTTTCACTACTTAGCAAAAGGCTTTTACCAAAATAATGAGAATGAGAAAAAAATAAATTTTTTTTTTGGGTTTCTAAATCTAAAAATGACTGTGGATACATTATAGCTAGAATAATCTCTTTTACCCTACTGAAGTGCTTCAAACCTTATTCGTAGGATTGTTGCTCTTGCTGTCTTTATGCCTGTTTGCTTCCCTAGGTTCCATAGGTTGGTGACACAGATTACTGTTGTTAGGCAGAAAATAAGATGAGATCGAGTTCTTCCCAGTTCCATCATATACACACAAGCTACGAAAGAGAGGGGCAGAAAACATGGCGATTGCTGAGCTTGTGAGCAACTATAGTCAGGTGTTCAGATCATCAAGGGTTTATAGCACCCCATGTTTTTGACGCGCATCCCCTGAAGTTTGGAGGTGTGATGGAGAACTTGTACGAATGAGAAAATATCGTCAATGACCTTGGCATATTATCTCGGTCTTCAATGTATTACTCTTGCAAAGAAAGTAGTGACTTTGACAGCTACGGAAAAGCAAATGTTTTGGCAATGGAAGGAAATAATGACGCTAACGGATTAAAAGTTGGTTGAGAAGAGATGTCTGTCATAGAAGTCAGAATGAAAAGGTTTAAATGATCATCAACTGATGGAAGATTTCTGACTTTGATTGTTCATGAAATTATACACCAATAGGGGCTGGAGTATTTCCTTTAATCACTTCCACTACGAACCACGCCTTGTTATCATCGCAGATGTTAGTTTTCACCATAAATTGGGCATGAAATTCGACTTCACAGTTGACATATCTGTGCCATGCATTGTCGCATCAGTTATTTATTATTGCGCATTACCGACCTTAAATGACGCTACAATTATTTGAAACTGGTTGTTATGGGCCTATTTATTGCCCTTGGGAGATTTTTATTTTTCCAAAATCTGTATTGCAGAATTGCTTTAGAACAATGAATCCTGATGAATTCACTTCACAGGTAGAGGGAGGGGTATATTGGTCGAAGTATATAGTTCATCGATTCAGCTGGCATGGATTTCTTTTTGATGGTGGAATCTGGAAACCTTTTTAAACGGAGAATCTATATATGTTTTATAATTTTCAATAGTTAATCTTGCTACGAAGGGCTGGTGTTGGTTTTGCTGTTCGGAAGAACAATTGGTGTAATGATGATCAATCCATTTTAAATGGAGCATCTAAGTCAAAATTTTAACCTTGCAAAACAAGCTGATCTTGGTGGCCTAAAGAATGTATCTGTTACTCTGCGATCTTTACCGACTAAACAAGCAGCAGCATAAAACTTATATGAGTTCTGGATGATGCCAAAATCCTTGAATTCTAGCTGTAGATAACTAATTCCAGAACTCCTATCTTCATATATATGTTTGTTCCCGCAATTAAAGTTTGCAAGATTAAAAAATCTCAGAAAAAGTTGTATATTTAGTTGAGGTTACATGCTCTGGAAGCTATTTATTTCATATTTGTAGTTTGCCCGCCATTGTTGACAAACTTCGTACTTTCCTGGTGGGATTTTCCTTCCGAACCCCACCTCCTCTTTCCCTGTCCTTTCTATTCTTTTGCGTTTTGGCGCCTGCCATTTATATATTAGGTGGAGGCTGGCCAATAATTGAGTTGGGAGGAAGGACGAGATTTTCTCCATGCATGAGACATAACATTGGTGCCACCGGCCAAACTATACTAGCTTCAGAATAGAAAATTGGGATTATATTTATAGAATGGCATGTGTGCCTGCTCTCCATTTGAATGCCCTGCAGTTGAGGGCAGTCTCTTCCTTTCGCAGCCAGTAAGGTGAACATGTGGATCATCTTTGCGCCGCTGATGCAAGAAACCAAGCCGTCTTCTTCTTGGCTCCAACAGTTTAGCAGCAGCATTCATTGAGAATTTGATTTGTTGGTCCCTGCTCAGCATGGTTTAAAGTCGCGGTCGCGGCCTGGACCGTTCCACATCGGTCTCGGCATATTGGTCGCGGTCTCGGCGAGACGCGAATTTTTGAAATATTTAATATTCTAAAAATTATAAAAAATATGATAAACAAAAATAATTAAAAAATTTGTAAAAATAATAAAAATTCGAGTTGATTCGGGATGACTCGGTGAGACTCGGCTGTTTCAACCCTTCACGGTAACGTCTCGACGAGTCACGTATCTCGGTATCATTTTGTCGCGATCTCGTCTCGGACTACGCTGAAACGGGGACGACTCGGCCGAGTCGTCTCGGTCTCGGTCTCGGACGAGTCTTTGAACCAGTGGTTTGTTTGAAGACTTGGCGCGTTTACCATCTTCTGCTACATTGGCGGCACTGCTTTAAGCATTATCGACTTTTTAACATTTATTCATTTTGGTTTGAGTATGGTGACTTGAACCCAACATATTGATATTATGCCAAGAAGATAATGATACTGCATCTTTGAGATTAATTGAATAGGGAGAATGTTCCCCTTTAGTACTCTCACTTTTGGTTGTTACATTTGTGCAAACATAATGATATTGCAACTTGTTTAGCAGAACCGGACAAAAGAAGCCAATACCACCCTGACCTCCAAGGTAAAAAATTTCAGGGTGGTTATTTGCTGGAAAAGTTGAGCCATATTTTCAGGCCATCTTTTTTCTTTTGTTGGGGTGGCCGGGGGGGGGGGGGGGGGGGTTGTGTGCGTGTGTGGATAATTTGATTTTTCTTTTTCTTTTTCTTCGCTAAATAATTTGTAAAGAAACTCCATCTGTAAATGCAGTCCTACTGATTGGTCGTGGGCTCTTTGTAGAATTTAGCAGGGAGTCCATTCAGAGGAACTGGAAATGGACTATACTGTACTTTGCCGCCCTTGGATCCCACTAGTTCCCATCTGCGAAGGACAATGATAAAATTAAAATTAAGAGCTAAATCCCAAAATATAACATTAAAAAGATTAACAAAAGGGTGCCGTATTAATTAATATCTACTACTATTTCATATTGATTGATAGCATAGATGAGCATATTTTTGGTACTGGGATCGCAACCTTGGTGAAGCAAATTGTAGAACCACGAAAAGATGAGTCTAGAGCCTAGACTCGCAAAATGGGAAAAAAAAAACCCATTACTTTTTTCAAGTTTGTAAATTCAAATACCTTAGAAATTAGTACCATAAATATTATCAAAAAAAAAGAAATTAGTTCCACAATTTAAATGAAAACAAAAATTGATCCGTA